TGTGCTCCAAGGAGTACCCAAGTTTTGTAGAGATGAAGGTTATGAGCAAAACGGGCTAGACCTATTGGACCCAAAAATCACCACACGAGCGCGCCACTGCCGCCGGTCGGGCGTGCTGGGCTAGGGCGCGTGTGTGAGATTAGGTTGGGCTTGTTCGGTCCAGTACTAATCTTTTTGGGCCAAAAATATTTGAATTTAAATTTTATTTTTTGAAATAAAATTTGTCCAAAAATTAATTCCGAATTTTTGTCCAGATTTAAATTTTAAATTCAAATTGTTGTACCTCTTCACAGATAAACCCGAATCTGTCCAGATTCAAACCCAAAACCGAATTTTTTTTGTTCAAATTCAAATCCACCAGAATTTCAAACCAAACAGTGCCTTAAACAGATTTGTATCTGTTTAATTCAAATTGAACAGGTACAGTACCTGTTTAATTCAATAGACTAGCCCTCATTTGTTATCAGATTCACTAATTTTCGTCCATAAATTTCAGCATTTATACTCTTCATTTTGCTGCATTATTTTCTTGTCAGAGAGAGTATAAAACACTTAGTGTGTTTGTTGTACACATATATTGTAGTGCTGCATATATTTGTTGTAGATTATTTCATCCTGAGAGATAGACGTCCATATTCTGAAAGTACCGAGGAAATGACGAATCTGTCTTAAGGACACAGTGTCAAACATTGGACTTGATCAGAATAATATTCAACAGGTTAATCAAGTAAGTTATTTATTTATTTTCTGTTTTATTATTATTTATTTAAATCAGATTTTAATTTTGTTTTGGTAACAAAATAAAATCAGTTTTTATTTATTTAATTCTATTTCTAGTTTAATTTTTGTAATCAAACATTTTTCTCTCCTTTCCTTTATTTCTTTATATTCTAGTTGTTGTTTAGTACACAACAGAATTTAATCTATTTAAATACAATGAAGATTGTCCAACAACCGTTACTCTTAAATATTACCCAAGCTCATGTTCTTCAAGGTCTAAAATCACCCAAGACATGGGTTCAAATCGAAACTTAATTAAAAGTAACTTTAAGATAAAACATAATTTTAAACAAATTTTCCCAATCTATTCGCTAACTTTGATAATTACAAAACCACTCCACGCTGTTCGAAAAATTTCAAAACCCTCCAGATATCAACTAATATATGCTAAGTTTCAAACCCAAACGGTTTTACTTGATTTGCTTACCAAAATAATTATTTACAATTAATTATGCCCAAATAGATTTTTTTGCAGCACTTTAAAGAAATTAATGGTTCTCTTAGTATACACAAGCAATCAATGCAAGGCAAAAAATGTAAGAAACTAGACTCATAACCGGTTCTAATGACGCTGATTTGATAATTTTCAGATTTATACCCAAAGAGAACGACACTTCCGAAGTTACTGTTTTACCCCAGTTTCTGGACAGATTTGAACGCACCAGTTAATATAGATTTTGACTCCCAAAAGTTATGAGAAAATTCTGATATGCAATTCAATATGTAATTAATCTACTGTAAAAATTTTATTTCAAAATTCATCTATTTGATATGATTTCTTGATTTTTAAAGTTTGTGATTCTATGCAGAATTTTAGACTAAGAATTACACTTATTCTTTATACATGAATTTAACTCCTTAAATTTCTTAACAATATATATATACACAAAATACATACACCTATGCCTACACCAAACGTGGAACTAGAACTATTAGAGAAACTAAATTAGAGAATAGAATAAGGCTAAAGAAGAAAGCTAGAACTCTACATCCTTCACATGAATTTAACTCAGATTCCCAAGCAATATATATGGAGTCAAAATCCCCTCCTTGCACTTCTTCCTTGCAGGGCAATTGGACCCACTTTTAGGCCCAATTTTGATAATCCGAACCGTTCATATTTTAAGATTTTTTCAGTATATCATACCTGTAAAAAATCAAGTTGATCGGATATCAGAAAGCATGTGTTCGGAAAACTGTTTATTAAATTTAAAAAAAAAATAGTTTTTAGTTCGATTTTTTCGAACACATGCTTTTTGATATCCGATCAACTTGATTTTTTACAGGTATGATATATTGAACAAATCTTAAAATATGAACGGTTCAGATTATCAAAATTAGGCCTAAAAGTGGGCCCAATGGCCCTGCAAGTAAGAAATGCAAGGAGGAAGTGCAAAGAGGGGATCTTGACTCTATATATATTGCTAGTGAATCTGAGTTAAATTCATGTAAACGATGTAGAGTTCTAGCTTTCTTCTTTATCCTTATTCTATACTCTAATTTATATACACAAAATATATACACCTACAACTACACTATTCCTGGAAGAGTAAGGATGCCCTCCTTGCATCATTTCCTACTTGCAGGGCCATTGGGCCTATTTTAGGCCAAATTTTGATAATCCGAGCCGCTCATATTTTAAGATTTGTTCAGTATATCATACCTGTAAAAAATCAAGTTAATCGGATATCAGAAAGTATGTGTTCGGAAAAATCGAACTAAAAACTATTTTTTGAAAAAATTTAATAAATAGTTTTCTGAACACATGCTTTTTGATATCCGATTAACTTGATTTTTATAAGTATGATATATTAAACAAATCTTAAAATATAAACGATTTAAATTATCAAAATTAAGCATAAAAGTGGATCCAATTGCCCTGCAAGTAGGAAATGTAAGGATGGAGTGCATGGAGGGTCTTGACTCCATCCAAAAGAGTAACTAAAGTAAGAATGGAATGAGGATGAAAGAAGAAAGCTAAAGTCTGCATCATTGCATAATAAGAATAAAAGAAGAAAGCTAAAGAAGACAGCTTGAAGTCTACATCATTGCTCCTCTATTTAACCGACTACAAGTCTGAGCAAGGTGAGACCACTCAAGCGCATCTCTCTCTGTTTCTCTGATCTTTCCTCCTCCTCCTTGTTTTTGGGTTTGTTTTTGTTTTTCTTGTTTTGAGTATGCTTATCCTTACCCTCCTCCTCGTCTTGATGCCCCGCCTGAACCAGTAATTCCATCTGGGTCGACGGACTTGGGCGGTTTTCCGGCCTCCAACACGACCCAAGAACACTTGGGGACCCAAGTTCCGCCGCCTGCTGAATCAATGATTCAAATTCTCGATCATTTTGATGCGGCCGCTGACACCACCGCCGAGCCTTCTAAATCAGTGGCCCAAGCTCATCCTCCTCATCCTCCTGTTGATGCCTTGCCTGAACCAGTAATTCCACGCAATGCTCAGCAACAAGACCTAGGATTGCCGAAGCTAGTTTTAGCGTTCTGCTTGACAGCAGCTTTTGAAATCGCCTTTCGATCCGTCCAGACTCGTAAACACTACCCTATAACCTTCCAATTGCTGTGTCTCTTAATGGTGTTTGCACTCGCTTTTCTCGTTGTTGCTAAATACATCGTTGCCACGTACCCAAAATCAGGCCGCTTGCTTGAGCACGCTGGACTACTCTGTGGAGTTACCGCTTTCTTTGCGGCCATCACCGTCTCTTTCTCTCTCTGCCTCAAGCTCATTTCCTGGATGGTATATGCTCTTTCATTGCTTGCCATTTCCACCTGCAATTTCCCTCCACCACTGTGAACCCCTAATGCTAATCCTGCACAGGATTGTCATTCAGGTTGCTCTTTTTTTTTATGGATATTAATTTTAATTATTATTAGCTGCTTTTAAAGGATTTGGGAGTTTTACACTGTTTGTAAAATTGTCTTGTTTATTGGAATTACTTCCATCAATTATTAGTATAGTTTCATTTTTTTGATTATGCTCATTGATAGTGAATGTGTAAGGGCTAGCATATGATTGAATTGCACAGGAACTCCCATTTGCAAAATTTTCAGGATCTGGAATCTAAAATTCAATTTTTACTTTTCCTCTTCAATTCACGGTATGATAATTTGTGGAAACTAAGAGATCGCATCGACTGTTCACAAGAAACGTGCATTTGATCCCAAAAGCAATATTATTAATGCAATTTGGTGATGGAAAACAAGTAGTGAACATTTTTGTTACATAAAGTTCGATTATTGATAAGCATGATGTGGTTGGAGGTGCTATGATTCATAGGATCGAAATATATTGGTTGAAGTGGAAGAGTATGTGACATATTGACGTATTATGTGATTCGTATGAATTTACTTATTTAACTTAGCATAAAATCACTGATAGAAAAATGATTGGTGCAGCCAACCACACTTGAATGGCACATAAAACTTAGCTTTGATTTGGTTTGGTTTGGTTTTTTGACGGGGGCATATTCAATAAATGAATTCTATCAAAACAAGAAAAAATCTAGAAGAAAAGGGGAAAAATCCAAGGAACAAATCCCATTGCACATATTGTCACCACTTTTCAAGATGATGTGAAACTACGTTGGAGAATCTTTTATTGAAGGCCAGCTCCTTCTTCCTGTGTGATAATTTGACTAGGTAATTGGTATTTCATGTGAAAATGGTTCTGGTATCACAATTTGTAAGTATTAACAAGAAGCCTCAAAAAGCAATGAAGTTTATGCTAAGACTTCTTCTAGAATACAAAAACAACGCCACATCAAAACAATAGGAGAATCTTAAATTTCTTGTTAAAGATTATTTTGCGGTGAAGATAACGGTCGTTAATGCACGTTGTTGTCATTTAGTTGTTAGATAGTTTGATATACATTGTTGGGTCCATTTCCTAATAGTTTAAGCTTTTGAAAAAAATTGGTAATGTAACATGGTATCAAAAAGGGTGACCATTGGTTCAATGGTTAAATCTTGGCCTGATAACCTTAAGGTTATGGGTTCAAATCTTGGGGCCACCACTTTGTGCATTACGCCAAAGGTTAGGTGTGTACTCAATCTTTCCCCTCCCAAACACACATTAATGTGTGTTAAAATTGATGTATTATTGATTGATGTAATGTTATTGTGTATATTACAAATGGTGGGTGGCTCATTATATAGGAGAGGGAACTTGAGTTTGGAGAGAGTAACAAAACAAGAAAATACATAAAAATAAAAGAGGATAAGAGACACTGTATGGTCGTGTCAGACCATTGGTGAAGACACTGGATGGTGGTGTCATAACGTTGTAGAGGAACTGTATGGGGGTGTCATAACCATGTAGAAGACAGTTTATGGGGTCATGTCGGACCGATGTAGAAGACAGTTTAAACTTTTCAATGTCAATGTCATGATTGGTAGAAAATTACAAGTTAAATAAATTACACTGGCAATATCCATTTGTTGCATGATTTCTTTTCCCTTTCCTAAGTGAGAATTGCTTGTTGATGGGTTCTTGACTTGTTTATGGGTATGACTTTGATAAGTTTTATAATGCAAATATATGTATTGAATGGTATAACATTCCTTGTTTTTTAAACTAAAATATTAGTTGTTAATTTCATCTAATCATTAATGTCAACCGTGTGGAACTGCTCTAATATGTACTGATGTTGATTGCATTTTGTTCTTTGAAGGGATTGGAAATAAGCAAAGAACCATGAAATGGAATAACAGGTACACAATACATGTCTTGTTCTTGAACTTTATGTTCTCTCTTATTTATTTGTATGTATGCTTCTTGAACTTGTATTCACTAGTTAATTGTTTCAAATATATTCTTCAAATTTGCATAACAGTCATTCTCTATTTTTTTCACCTTCATTCTCTTCGTCTCTTTCACTTTCCAATGCCGACCAGTACTCCATTGCCCTCCATAGCCATCGCCCACCCCTTCTCCAACCTCCACAACCATTGTCACCGCTATGGAGGGCAAGAGAGTAGTGGTCGGCATTGGAAAGTGATGGAGACAGAGAGAATGAAAGAGAAAAATAGAGAGGACAAAGTGCAAAAGTGGGAGATGAGGTGGACGCTGATATTTGCCATTAAAGTTATGCAAATATTGTAAAAAATTGAACTCTTTCTTTTGAAGTACTAGAGTAGTCTATAAACTAATATGCAATTCAATAGGATTCTGCATAGTGGCTCACAAGGCTAACTAACAACATAATCTATATCTAGGTGAGTATGAGACGGATAAATTAACTTACCAACCAGCCTCTGATATCGCTCCCTGTCAAATGAATCTTTAGTTTCATCCCCTAACATGCAATTCTGCTGCAACTTGGTATCAATAGCTTTATACCCAAGCACACTTTGTCCTTGAGAAGGTCCAAAACATTTGTTCTTAGTGAGATAAACACACTATTTGAGATGTTGCAACATCAATACTCAAGAAGTACTTCAAGTTTCGAAAGTTTTTTATCTCAAACTCCTAAGTAAGATAGCTATTCAACTTCTGCTTTTCTATAGATCAAATATCATCAACACACACAAGGAGTGCAGTAACCTTGTTTTCATGTTAAATAAATTGGGTATAGTCATCTTGACTCTGTTTGTAGCCACACCTAAGCATAGCCCAAGTAAACCTCTCAAATCATGCTCTAGCAAACTTTGTAGGTGAAAGAGTACTTTTGGCATATTACACTAGCAATATCAGACTTTGTTGCTTCAAATTTGCATAACAGTTCTTTTTTATTATATTGATTTACAGTGTGTTAGTTGCATTTAGTTTTCTTGTAAATTTGTAGAGCACTTTTTCCATTGTGCAACATCATCTATTTCAAACTGGATTATAATTAATATGGATGTATCTCATAGTGTTTTTTCATTTGAATAACATCTCATTTTTCATTTGGTAATCTGAGCTACTTGAATCTCTGTTTGCATGGCTGGATGCTGATATTTGCCATTAAAGGTAAGCAAATATTATAAAAAATTAAACTCTTTCTTTTGAAGTACTGGAGTAGTCTATAAACTAATATGCAATTCAATAGGATTATGCATAGTGGCTCACAAGGCTAACTAACAACATAATCTATATCTAGGTGAGTATGAGATGGATAAATTAACTTACCAACCAGCCTTTGATATCGCTCCCTGTCAAATGAATCTTTAGTTTCATCCCCTAACATGCAATTCTGCTCCAACATGGTATCAATAGCTTTATACCCAAGCACACTTTGTCCTTAAGAAGGTCCAAAACATATGTTCTTAGTGAGATAAACACTCTCTTTGAGATGTTGCAACGTCAATACTCAAGAAGTACTTTAAGGTACCAAAGTCTTTTATCTCAAACTCCTTAGTAAGATAGCTATTCAGCTTTTGCTTTTCTATAGATCAAATATCATCAACATACACAAGGAGTGCAGTAACATTGTTTTCATGTGACTGTTGAATACATTGGGTATGGTCATCTTGACTCTGTTTGTAGCCACATCTAAGCATAGCCCAAGTAAACCTCTCAAATCTTGCTTTAGCAGACTTTGTAACTCATATAATGCCTTTTTAAGCTTGCACACTCCCATCAACTGAGAAATCCTCAAAGCCAGGTGGAACATCCTTAAATACTTCTTCCTCTAAGTCTTCACAGAGTAAAGCATTCGTCGTATCTAATTGTTAAAGAGGCTCAATATGTTAATTCTCTAGAATAGGTCACATGAAGAGCTTTCGAAATGGCAATGCTGTGAATTTTAGTTAATTTGAGTGCTTAACTAACTTGCCATGATGCAAAATCGCAAGCTCATATCAGTGAGTTTTTTCAAGACTACGTCATATCGGGGAAATTCTACCTTGCAGCAAACTTGCCTCTACATCGTCTGGCTTATTTATTCTCTTTTCTGCAAGATGTGCTTTAAGCCGTATGAAATGTTCATGAATACTGTCATTGCTTCTAATCTGGATTTTCACGTGACTTTGTAGATACATCTCTCATTGATAACATCTAAAATAACTTCAAAAGCCTGATAAGTGCTGAGTGCTTGGCCGGTCACAATGATCTTCGGTGCTATTAATGGAATAGGACAACCAACTTCACTGGATAATTATACTTGATTGACTAGCATAAACAAATAATATGAAGTGCCAAGCACTTAAAAGGGATTGATCATTCTCAGTGACTCCTATTAGTTCTTCTGTGTCATTTTACATCCTTTAACATTTGCTCAATATTGATGACTGCATATTTCAATAAACTCACAGAATTTGACTTTCTTCATAGAATTCTTGCATGGCAGTGAAGCTGTAATATCTACTCAGACAGTTCTCACATCCTAATTATCTCTAGCATGTGAATGATTTTATCTATATGTTATCTACTTATTATATAAATGAGTTCAAATTTCCAGTTGCAGGATGTTGATAAATGAAACACGGTCAATGGCAGATAACTTACCAAAAGAACAAGAAAAAAAAAAAGAAAGGTAGATCCTTCAACTTATACTAATATGATGAACAAAATATTCCAGTTCGGATTCAATTACTATATGCTGATATGCCAGTAGCTAGGGACTTCATTTTTTAGAGGCTTATTACCATTGATTTTACTGCTCTGTGTGCTATTTAACTTGTTACAAAGCCTTGTTTTTAGTGTAAATCTGTTGGATTTTATGTCAATTTCATCGCTGATATGAACAATTAAGATTACTGGAAAATCTGTTACTCTCAACGTAGAGAGTTCTAACCTGCTGAAGCCAGCAGATGCTAATTTTTATTTCGAGTCAGCTTGAGGATGGTTGCACTGTGGCAATGCATTTTTCTATTGGTTAAATGGTGGATTCCCATAAAAATAAAAATATAAAAGAAAGAAAGAAAGAAAAAAAAGGAAAAAAAATGGTGGATCATCAATCTTTCATGACAATAATATTCTATTTAAATCGTTAAAAAGCCTTGTTTTTAGTGTAACTCTGTTGGGTTCTATATCAGTTTCATTGCTGATATAAGCAATTAAGATAACTGGAAAATTTGTTACTTTCAACATAGAGAGTTCTAACCAGCTGAAGCAAGCGGATGCTAATTTTTATTTCTAATCAACTTGAGGATGGTTGGACTATGGCAATGCATTTTTCTATTGGTTAAATGGTGGATCATCAATCTTACATGACAATAGTGTTTTCTGTTGTAAGCAATGTGAGGTTAGTTGGCTTTTCTAACATAAATTCTTCAGCTAATTAAGGTGTATTGGTGGCTAAAGGAAATTGTTTGCTAGTGGAGATCCAGTCATCGTCTGATTCAGCCGCTATTATGTAGCTTGGGTGTTTTTTATATCAGCATCAACAGTTAGGGGTGAAGAATGGAACATTTCATTTTGCATGACAACTTGGTAATTTGAAATATACTTGTATAATCATATTACTGTACAAGGAATGTTTATCTCGGACTTATGAATAGGGATTTCCTGGACCAAACAACTCTTTGGCTCAATTGTTTTTTACCCGAAGTTGACATCCTCTTACTTTTGTTTCATATCCAAGTCTTTCCTACAAACCTGTATTGTCCAACAAGATGAGGGATTTTAACTTTGTTAATTAAAAATTTCTTTTCTGTGGTAGATATGTGGTTCTCGAACAATTAAGAGCTGATAAGGTGGTACTAAAACGGCACATGAATAAATCATCTTCTTGGAGGGAACAAGGTTTGATGAACCAAGACGTTGATTATGGATGATCTAATGAATTTCAGCTGTGATGTTGAAGTTTATTTTATGCTCTTTTATGTTGTCCTGTTTCGTTACATTCTGTTTTGTTTCTAAAGTGACAAAAGTTGAAGTTTCTCTGTAGTCACTCAAGAATAATGTGGAGGCACTCCCCAGTTGCACAAGTGACCTCTACATACTGGAGAGCTGTCCATAAGCTGCTCTGAATCCAGAACACCATTTTGGAGTCCCCGAAGCACCAGGTAATTTTTCTACTCTTCAATTTTCTTTTTCTTTTTTCTTTTTCGGCTGCTCTGTCTCAAATATTCTTCCCTAGCTTTCCCACTACACCTTCTGCTGCATAAACCCTAAAGACTGCTGTGATGGAGCAGCAGTGTCAACCAATTTCTTTGGTCGTGCTCAACAATCTTAATTGGCCTAAGCAAATGATAGCATTTTGCTTAACTTCGTCTGTCAAAATAGCCATCCAATTTATTCAAACCTGACTACTCTAACTTCCTCCAATTTTTTCACTAGCCTTTGCCTCCGTCTTTGTCGTGAGTTACCTATCACAGCCCAAGCTTTATAGTGACTTGCTATCTTCTTTGCTGCCACAACATTCTGTATTGCTATTTGATTCCCTACAACAGCAGTCCTCACATGCACCAATTGGTCTGTTTATGCTGTCTCCTTGCTACTCATTCTCACATACACCACACTAATAAGCATGAACGAGAAACACCCCCCCCCACCACACACACACACACACGCATTTTATCCAGTATCTGTAAGAATATGAGTATGTACACCTAAGAAGCATGGACACAGACACGTGACACGACATGGATACGACACGGATATACCGACACGTTAATTTTCAAAAAATGAAGGACACGACACGTAGGGGACACGCATGAAATATGTAATTTTATATATTTATTATATGTTATATATTTAAATATATCATTCAAAGATAATAAAAAATGCAATATGACACTAATTCCTATAAATTTATATGGTTTTTGATTTGTTATTGTATCTTAAGTTGTTTTATTTAAATTTATAATTAGTTTCATTTGTGCCCAATCGATAGACACGTGTGTTTATGCGATTGACATGTGTGTCCTCTAAGTGTCCAAAGTGTATCTGGGTCTTTAAAAAAATTTAAAAAATAAGACACGTTTTGAAGAGTGTCGGACACGTGTCCTAAGAGTGTCCAAAGAGTGTCGGTGTCCAACACGGACATGACACGGAAAGTTCCATCCTCTTTCGCTGGTATCAATTCCCTAGTCGTGTTCCATG